CCCAGTTCAGTGGCGCGGGAATGGCGCCTTTTGCACCCGGCTCCCGTGCCTGGGCGCCTGGTTCCTGCTTACTCAGGGAGGGACCTTCACCTCAGTGAGGACCTCCGTGCGTCTCCCCGCAAGCCTAGGTCGTCTCCCCGCAAGCCTAGGTCGCAGGCGCGGGGACCTGGGCAGCCGCGATCCCGGTCTGCACTTGCTTTTCAAGTGCGCCAGGCGCGCCGCGTTTCCCGCGCAGGCTTACCGGCAGCCCGGGCCGTGTGCGCGTCTCCCGGGGTCTTTGTTCTTCTCTAATGGCTCCCGGAGCAGTTCGCTCACCGCCGCGGCGGTCCTGCAGGGTTCGCCTCAGCTCCCGTTCACGGGGTGTGGTGGCTGCACTAGTTCCTTTCCGCTCACAGTCCCGCTTGCTGCGTCGTTTGTTCTTGTCGGTTGTTTTGGTTTGTTGTTTCCTCCTCTCTGCCGGTCGGAGAGTGCCGCCTCTGTGGGCGGGGGAGGGGAGCAGGGTTCTGCGCTTCCCTCCCTTCTAGTCCTCTTTTATGGCCACTTTCTTCTTCGGGCAGTTCGCTGGCGTCACCCGTTTATCTTCCGTGTCCCAGTTCTCACTGGGACCTGCCGCTTTTCCTCCCTATTCACTTTTTTTAATGGGAGATCTTACTCGCAGCGTCTCCTCGCCGCCATGTTGCTCCGCCCCCCTGCTCCTATTAACTTTTTTTAATGGGAGATCTTACTCGCGTCTCCTCGCCGCCATGTTGCTCCGCCCCAGAGCTGCATCATTGTTAATTTTTAAACAATATTTGCTTCCCCCCACCCCCTCAGGTGGAGTCCCCATAGAATTTCCTTAACCAGTGCACCCGTGCACCAACACCTCAGTCCCCTGTGCTCCTCCCTCCCTCCTGCTGATCCCTCTCCCTCCTCCTCCCCTTCAGGATGTCTCTGATTTATAATTGTCCATTTTTGCTTTGTTGTGTTTGTACTGTTATTATTTTTTTACACTGATGTCCTATTTGGTTCCCCTATATTCCTGCTATAAGTGAAACCATGTGATATTTTTCTTTTTCTTTCTGGCTTATTTCACTGAGCATAAATCCTTCTAGTTCCATCCATGTTGCTGCGAATGGCATGAGTTTATCTTTTTTGATTGCTGAATAATATTCCATTGTGTATATATGCCACATCTTCTTGATCATCTATTTTTGGGCATTTGGGTTGTAGAAGGTTGGAGTTTAAAGTTCTATACTGGGAGGGAGAAAGACTACAAGTTGAGTTCTTTTGCCAATGACCAATGAGTTAATCAATCATACCTACGTAGTGAAGCTTCCATTAAAACCCAAAAGGGTTTCAGAGAGCTTATGGGCTCATGTAAAGATTTGGGGGAGAATGGTGTCCCTGAGAGGGCATAGAAGCTTCATACCTTGCCTTATGCATCTCTTCCATCTCATTGTTGACTTTTATCCTTAGCCTTTGTAGTAATTTGTTGATTTATTGAAAAAAATGGGTTTCCTGAGTTCTGTGTGCCATTCCTGCAAATTAATTGAACCTGAGGAGGGTGACCTGGGAATGTCTGATTTATAGTCAGTTGGTCAGAAGCACAGGTAATAATCTGGGCTTCAATGGGAACCTGAAATCTGAGGAGGGGGATCCTCCATATTTACCACAAATGTGGGGGATCCTCCAGTGTGTTACCTGGTTGATATCTGAGATAGAGGTGGTCTTAGGAGAATGGGACTTTAACCTGTGCAATCTGATGCTAGCTCTGGGTAGACAGGGTCAGAATTGAGCTTGTTGGTTTGGGGACACCTTCAAATACTCATTGAAAATTGGATCTCAGGACAAACACAGCTGCTCAAGGTCTTTGTATTCGGTGGGGTAATATTGATTGGCATTGCCTTACTGATATAACCCATACCTTCATATAAATGAAGATTCCAGGGCTAGGAGAGAGTTTAGGGTCTGAAATGTGTCCTCGGTTAGCATGGTTGAGGGATAAGAAGGAACAGACATTTCTCACAAATTATATGAACCCTAAATATTAACTGCTTAGATAAGGTGTGTAGGACCATCCATTAGCCTTCCAGTATCTCGTTCTCCTATAACACCCTGTGCATTTCTCAGTCTATTGGTTGTATCCATTCCTGGATTATCCATTTTATGGTGGAGTCACTCTGTAGAGGTAAACTTGAGCATGGGGAATGTGTCTTACTCTTCTTTATACCACTAGTGATTTTGCAGTGTCTGCCTCAGATAGTTTCTTAATTCATGTTTTTAATACATGTTTATTGAGGAAATGAATAAATGGATGAAAAATGAGTGAGTCAACAAAGAGGTACTCTGTTAACTTTGTGAAACTAGCAGAAATGTTGCTATTAAAATACAACTAAAAAGAAAACTAGAGACCAAGATAACTAGTGAATATTTATGCAGAATCTTAAATGAAATTCTAGCAAACCAAATTCAATAGTACATTTCTTTTATCATCCAGTATGACCGGAGAGTTTCTTCTGACACTGCTAGCATAGTTTTCTGTTAGGAAAGTGATTTCTGGTGGTATGGATATGTTAAATGTTACAGTCATCCTGGAAAGCAATCTTGCAAAATCTATTAAAGTTTAAAACACATATGTCCTTTCAGTCAGGTATTCCACTTCTGGGAATTCACACCAAAGAAATAAAAGTACAAGTGTATGAGGACACATGTACAAAAATGTTTTCTGCAGCATGGTGGGGTGTGGCAAAAACAGGGAAACAAAGCAACAACTGTCAGAGGGGAAGAGCTCAGTGTATACATGTACATCCATACTGGAGGGTATTATACCACCTCAAAAGAGAATGGAGTAGAGCTTTGCACATGATTCCACAAGGTATTAATGAGTGATAAGCAAAGTAAATAAAAATAGGTAGAGAAGATCCCGTTTGGGTGGTTTTTTTTTTAATTGTTTTTATTGAGGCAACATTGGTTTCCAACACTGTTTTAGGAGTACAGGTTTGCACTTCTTCAAAGGTATGTTGCCACATGCTGCTAATACCCTCCACGAAGTCCACCAGATCTCCTCTATCCTTTGCTCCCCTCTCTAACAACCTCAGTTTTGTTGCCAGAATTCAAGACTTGCTTTGTTTTGTTTCATCTGTTCATTTGCTTTCTTTCTTTATATTTCATGCATGAGTGAAATCATCTGGTATTTGCCTTTCTCCTAATTTCACTTAGCATCTTCTCTTCCATTCCATCCATGTTGTCGCCTGCAAGATTTTCTTTTTATAGCTGATAGTAGTCTATTGTGTATATTTACCACATTATGAAGATTCCATTTTGCTGAAAAATAAAAAACAACACCCCAAAACAAGCTATCAACCTCTGTACCTGTATATTTACCAGTTGAATACTGTAAATTATATTAATTCTTTTGACATCTCTTTCCTCCTTTGTAAATGTGGGTAATAATAATAATATACATCTCATAGGATTTTTGTGAGAATTAAATAAGTTATTACATGTGAAATTCCTGGTACCTAGAAAGCACCTGAGAAATATTAGCTATGAGGATGATGTTTATAGACCTGAACAGAACATGTAAAATTCAAAGAAATACCTACAAGGACACAGGCTAGAATGTTAATCTAACAATTAACAGTGAGGGAGGGGGTGTCGACAGGGGCTGAAGGGAGAAGGAAGGTGCAAGTAAATAAGGAAAAGAAAATAAATGACTATTTCACATTTATACATTTCTTTATGTTTATGGCACATGGGACTACTGATAAAATTAAAATACCTGTGTATTTATAAAGAAATAAAATTAAAATTAAAATACCTATGTAGGTTAAATGAGTTAGTAAGGTGTTTTTACACTTACCTACCTCTAACCTCTATGCTGACACCTTTGATCTTGCATGCCAGTCATGATTATGGACACCTGGGCCTGAAAGGGAGGGAATAAAAGGGCAGTGTCATTCCCTAGAAATGCCCGGGGGAGAGAGAGAGAGTGAAAGAACTAAGAACGGTGGGAGGGAGAGAGAAAGAGAAGATTTGTATGGATTGGGGGGTACCAAGCCTCTGCCCCCCCCCCCGCCCTGGCTAGCCTCCTGCCTGTCCCCCCTACGTCCCTGCTGGCCTGCTTGCCACATAAAAGGTAACGTAACTCAGTATATCAAATCAGTGGGTCCAGTTTGAAGAAATAGTACAAAATAATATATGCTGAAGACATTTACTAAACTTTAATCTCATCTGTCCTTAAGTATAAGTCTAAGAGAAACTGATTTCATCAATTTCCTCACTGAAATTTTTCTTCTTAAGGAATTTTAAAAGAAGTTTGTCCTTAAAAAATCAATTTCTGTGGACACTGCAGCTGTGAGTCATGATTGTGTAATTGTACAGATCGCTGGTTGAGAGGTATTGGCTCGAGGTAGAATTTCCTGCATAGGTTTCTATACTTGCAGCAAAGAGGCTGTTATTCTTGCATCTCATCTTCCCTGGAAGTGTTTTGTGCACAATAGAGTGCATTTTTATGAAGTCCTTTGAGTTTCCCTGATGGGGTGAGTCTGACGTTGGCAAGACAGCATTTGATGCCTATCAGCATTCAAAGGTCACTTTTCTTTCTGGTGGTCAACTTCATAAAGCCCCGAGTGTGCCCAACAGCTTAGTTATTGCTTATCTTCCTTAGTGCCCAGTATTAAGGTCTGTTTAAAGCCATGCCTTTTCTTTGCTTTTTTGGTGGGTGAGGTGGTCAAGGGAGGTTTTTCAGAATTGAAAGCATTTCTTTCTATTTTCCCACTTGTGGTCATGAAATAACTGTATTAAGCCTTCGTGCTAGAGCAGAGCTCTGGAGATAAAAGGCATGTTTGTCCTAATCAGCTGGGCTGGATTTCTATATTGTACTGCGTGATGACAGCCATGGTCGCATTTTCTGATTGCTGGCTTATCTACTAGCTGCCCTTAGATAAAAATCTGTTTGTCTTGAACTGATAACCACAGCTGGGCTATTTAACCATTTCTTTCTATTTCTTTCCCCTCCAGGTCCTCATGAATATGGAAGACATAAAAATCCGTGAAATGCAGATTTTTGACTACAGGAAAAAAATTGCTGAATCAGAGACTAAATTAAAACAGCAACAGAACCTGTATGAAGCTGTGAGATCAGACAGGAATCTCTATAGCAAGAATCTTGTCGAGGCTCAGGTAAAGAATACATTTATGCATTGATATTTTGATTCCTCCCCACCCTGGGTTTCAAGCAGTTTCTGCTATCCTAAGCCTGGATTTAGAATAGATCAAGAAAGAAATCTTGTGGAATTCACCTGGAAGAGAAGATCCATTTATGCAAAACTACCAGATTGTGTGAAGTGGAAATGACACACCTTGATAGGATGTGAAGATCACAGCCCTGCTTTTAATGATGATGTAGAATTGCCATTGTCACATTTCTAACTTTTAAAACTGCTAACAGCTACCACGACTGAGAGGGAAGCAGCCTACTCATGTCATCTAATTGCAGGGTTTTGCTTTGTAATAATTTGTTTCTAATATTTGTTGTGTTTCCAATGCCTATCTTATAAAGTGAGGAGTAAAGTGTGTGTTTGAGTTATGTGTGTGGCATATTCATTATGTACACTTTGTATAGTTCTCATGGTTGTATTTTGACAGTTAATGCTATAAAGTACTTGGAGATCCGTGGACATAGGATACAAAGGACTAGCTCAGTCATCGCTGGTCAAGAGACCATTGTTTTGCATGAGCCTACCTTCAGTGCTCTGGAATATGTGTTGCACTTCCATGGGGATGGTGATGTCTGTTTAATTTGCTTTCAATTTAGTGTAATTTTTCCTTTCATGTTTTCAGGATGAAATAACGGAAATGAAGAGAAAATTAAAGATTATGACCCACCAGGTAGATCAGCTGAAAGAAGAAATCTCTGCTAAAGAGTCAGCACTTGTGAAGCTACATCTAGAACAGCAGCGGATAGAAAAGGAGAAGGAAACCTTGAAGGTACAGATCTTACAATAATAAACGTGGAACCACAGTCCAGAGATTCAACCCAGTTGAGGCAGGGGCCACACTCACTGAGGGCAGCAAGGGGGCAGGGAAACAACTGAGGCATCAGAAGGCTGAGCTCTTCACCCCCTGGTTGGACCTCCTCCCAGGGGGTGCACCCAGGTTGAACAGGAGGGGCTGGTGGAGAGGTGCAGGCGGGTTCACCTGTGCTGGCTGTTACCACAGCAGTGGACAAGCACTAGCGGGTCAGCAGTGCCTAAAAAGCCCTGGAACTTGCTGGTTCACTATATTCCCTTTGTATTCAATTCATTTCCAACCCTTGTGCCCACACCACCCCTCTAACCCCTGCTCAGACAGTGTTGGGGGACATAGGGTCTCTTGGTGTCATGTTCATGTGACTTTCCTGCTTGCAGGTCATTAGCTGCCAGATGTGAACCTCTGTCCTCACTTGATTTGCCCTCAACCAGGGTGCCTCTGTGGGGTCTCGGGAGTTTGCAGCCGCTCTTCCAGGAAATCACCTCTGTCTTTTTATCTGTCACTAAGACACATCCTTTGAAATTGACTAATTCAGAATAGGCTGTGTCTACTAACATAAAGACTCTTTCTGGATTTATAAGCTTGTATATGTTTTAGGGATGTAGGATCACACCTCTACAAATATATGTTATCACACCATGCCCCCACCAAAGCCCCAGTAATTCTCTCCAAGAATATATACCCAATAATTACATCATTTTGAATTCTCAAACCAAATGTTTTACTACACATTCACTAACCTTAATGTATTTCCCTTTTCCTATTCAATGCAATAGTTATCCCTTATGATCCATTTGAACAAAGAATGAGAACTTCTACAAGTACAATACCACTTTTATTTTGAAATGTTTATGCAATAAACTCATGGCTGCTGTGACCCACTTGCAGGAGCCACCTACAAGTGAGAGTCTGTGGACCTTGGTTTCTATACACATTAGCTTCAAAGACCATTCTGAACCTGAAATTGTGTATTTATTATTGGACAGGTTAAATGCCCTATTTCCTTGATTCTAAGATGCCATAGAGAAAATATGCGCTCTCAATTTAATAATGGGTTTTGTCAACTTAATAATAGGTCTTCATGGAAATAGAACGACTTTGTTAAATTACTTAAGGCACATTTGGGTTGACAAAAATTAAATTGTAACAGAAATGCCTTTACACAAAAGATTTGGTAATTGATTTATTTATCTGTCTGAGACTGATCTCCCTACTCTAGCTTATGACAGAGAATAGAAAATTCTGCATTAAAATTTATTTACAAATAAGAAAACTTACATATATTTTCTCAAATTTGAAAATATTCACATCTTTGCCCTTTTCCTCCATGTTCAAGAGCTTAGCGGGTAGCTTGTTCCACCCTGGGGCTTGTAGTGGGATAGGGTTAATTTAGCATTGACTCAATCAAAATAATCTTATTACAAACACTGTTTCACCCTTGGACCTCTTGTCTTGATTTGGCACATCTCGTTCCTTTTAGAGGATGACTTTGATGCTCATCTCTTACTTTCCAAAGTAATGCTCTTTTCAAAAGATTAATTGCTACCCCATAATGGGGTCCATGATAGGACTAACTGCCTACTACAGAATCCTGCTTTCAAATAAGCAATGCCCTATACAAAAGAGCGATTATTCCTAATCACTTAGGGTTTGACTTTGGTTAATATTTGTTTCAGTTATGCCCTTCATCATCAAGCATCTACATATTCAGCTCCAAAGAAGCTTCATAATAAATGAAATAGAGAGATATAGGGGCCTGTGATTTGGTCCTGGGCCCGCGCAGTTGGCAGCTGGTGGATGTGAAAGATGATCAAGGGTTTTCTGCTCTGAATGGTCTACTCTAAATGGGGCATGCTACGTCCGGACACCTTTGGGGCATTGATTATAGGAAGATGATTGCTTTGATCGTACTGTGAAACTAGGATGCCTTTCCGCCCAAAGTTTCCCATTAAGGCAAGAATGAAGAACAGAAAAAATCACCTGCTTGATTTATTACTTGAGGTTATCCAAGGGTGACTTGCAATGGTGATTCAGCTGGATAATTTTGGCCTATCATTAAGCCTGTTTGACATTCTTTAGAAAAATATGACAGCTCAGATGCTGAATTTCAGCCTTCTGACTTTCTTAGCCTCACATTTGAATCACTTCTACACAGGTCTCTGGATTTCATGCATCTAACATTTGTAAATGCAACCTGGCAAGAAGAGGCAGATTTTCTAGAAACTTTGCTCCAAGGGACATTTAGCTTATTACTGTGAATTCTACAAAGCTATGTGGGCACATAATCCCTCCGGAAGGGCAAGACCTAGCCTGTTTGGTAGACTGTGAGACGCCATTTGACAGGACAACCTAATTTACTACTACTCCAAGCCAGCAGACAAACAATTCCCCCTAATAGGTCACCCCCCGCCTCATTCATCCCCCACAAAGGGAAAATCTTGCTCCTGCCATGTTTCTTTTCCTCCTTTTAGTTGCTACCAGACTCTACTGACTCCTCACGATTCTAGACATTGTCAGCACATTATGGTTATGACAGAATGCCAATAGTTCTCTGTAGACATTGCTGCATCGGCCCATTCTGTCCCAGTCTTGTTTCATCAGCACTGAAGGAGCCATCTCATTTGGAGTGTCTTCCTTCCAGCCCTAACAAGCTCCTGGTTATGTCTCGTCACTTTTCAATCATCCTACATCAGCCTGACAGCACTTTGATTCTTGGTGAATAATTCATCAGCAAATTCTCTTTGTCTGGAGTTCAGCATCACGTTAGCAACTGGCTTTTGGGCTCTATAACCTTTTACTTAGTGGACTCTTTAGAATGACATGGATGGGAGGGGTGTGTGTGTGTGTGTGTGTGTGTATGTGTGTGTGTGAGAGAGAGAGAGATGGGGGGAGAGAGAGTAAGAGAAAAGAGGGAAGGAGGAAGCCTAGTTATTCTCATGGCTAGACTTCAGGGAATCTTATTTGTTTTCTAAGTGTAAACATGATTTCCTTGAAACCCAGTGAATGACAGGATTGTGTATGAATGGGAAAAACTCCCAAAGTATGGTTCTTGAGATTTGATTTATATCCACAGCCAAATTAGATAATATACCTCCCATAAACACCTACCACCAAACTGTATAATTGTGGAGGCGGTGGCTAAGGATGTGCCCTGCCATCGTGTTACAACCAGTGACACTTTGATAGATGCCAGTATCACAGGTCCTACCTGGAACACTGCTTGATGGCTTTTGGGTGCACAGCAGTTGTTACTGTCTTTCTTGGGTGAGGCAGCTGAGATTTATAGCTGTTAAATGCATTAGACCCAAGGTATTTTGTTGATGTTAACATTTGCTGCCAGCGTCTAATGCCACATCTTGTTTACAGCTCATAAATTTATGACATAAGGAGACCACTCAGAATTTTGATATATTAGAAAAAAAAAACCACTCAGCAATGCCAAACGCACGAATGGTTTTACATTTCAGACAGATCCTTTTACACACCGTTGATTGCATTTTAATATAACAGGGGCTTCATTTTGTTCTGCTGATGGATTCTGATCATCTCTTGGCACTTAGAAACAGGGAAGTGAATGCAGCACATCTGGGAAAATAAAAGTTTTATTAAAGAGAGCACGAAACAAACAGGTATTTCATCGTTGTCTCCTCTGTCACCCTAAGTGATGATAGATATAGAAGGGCTGGCTTTTTGCCCTCTTTCCTAACAGACAATCCCCCAACGTGATAAATACTAAATCAGCTCTTTTATCGATAAGTGTTTCCTTTTGCTTATCCCTCAACCAAAACATATTTCACGAATGAACAAACAAAATGTCATAGAGAAACCCTTGGTTTCACAGTTGCCAGCTGTATCCGGCCTGTGATGTTACGCAGCTATTCTTGGTCATGCAGTTCCTTTTATGGTTTGGGTGTGTTTGACACACAAAGTAAAAGATGCTTGTCCTCATGGGTCAGAGTTGGGCTGTTTCCCAAACACTTGCAAATCTGGGCTTTTCTGTCATCTTGGGGACCTTTCTCAGTGGGTGGAGGCTGGGTAGTGGTCCTATTGCTTCCCTGAATGAAAGTTACTTCATGGTCATTTGCTCACTGACAAGCCATTGAAAAGTTGAAGCCTTGTTATGGTCTTGTTCTCTCCCTGTGATTCTCAGTGTGGGTGGGGCAGTACTGCTCCTCCTGTTTGTTTCTTTTTGTGCTGACTTGGTCTGTGTGGACCACCTGCCCTTCTCATATGTCTCTCAAATGTATTTGTCTCTCCTTAATCTGATCACCTCTTTGGCTCCCCATTGCACACTCTGTGCAATGTGTGGCTTACAAGGCCCTTCCCATTCTGACTCAGCCGTTTTTCCAGCATCCCTCCTGCTGTCCCCTAAGTAACACCATGACCCAGCCATGTTGGAGGCTTTGCTCTCTGGGGAGCAAAGCAGGTTCTTGATAGTTTGCATGTGTTTATTCATGCAAGCCAGGCTGCTGAACCCCATATCCCCAACACCTATCTACCCCCTTCATTTTGGAAATTATTCTGTCAGCTGCCAAGATCCTGACCCATTATTCCCTCTAAATTCCAGGCAGAAAGAGAAACTCGTTCCTATGCATTCCATACCCTTTCCCACACAGTGGATGCGTCTCCACACCGTAGTGTGATTGGTTATATTTTACGTCTCCTGTGGATGGGGAATCCCACAAGTCATCCTCATCTTCCGTATTTGACTTGGAACTATTGGGTTGTGATAGCAGAGGGGCCACAGGCTTTGAAATAAAAAGATCTGGGTTGGCATCAAAACTACTACTTGCTAATTGAGTGATCCAGGGTGAGTGGATTTGCTTTTTCTTTGTCTCTACAATTGCATTTGTAAAAAGGGGATAAGAGTAGCTATGAAAATGCCTAGTATCATGCTTGGGAATTGTAGGTCACAATTGTGTCCCTTTGATGAGACGAATTTTTCTTCTGAAACTTACCAGTCCACAGCACTTTCCCCCATCACTCTTAGGATTTCCCCATAACCTCAGGTGCCTCAAGGTCTGAACTTTCCCAGGAAGCCTCCCTCCCTGACAACCTGCTAGGATATCAGCGCACTGTCTGTGTGATAACAAAGATACCTGAAATTATTGGCTGGACTTGTTAATATTTGCATAATCCTGGTCTAATTTTTTCATCTAGATTGGAAGCGTCTCTGTATACTTTTTACCTTGTAACATCTCTTCTGTTCCCTCAAGGTATTTTATAAGATGGGCACTTGGTTGTTCCCTCCACTAATTCATTTTTTTTTTTTTTTGCAATGAGCTTTATCACTGCAGTTGATGTGCTGGTGGCATCGGCCCAGTACAGGAGCTGGTACATGCACCCCTCATCCTCCCCTGCACTATTCTTTGTGACTTCTCCACCCCCGCCCCCATTTAGCTGGTAAGAGAAGTGCTGCTGAATACCAATGAAGCCCTGCTACACACATACAGAAAAATGATGGAAATCCCTCAAGGGTAGAACTCATAGAATAAACATGATCACCATAATGTGCATTGCTTTTTCTTTACAGGCGCGCATGAGTGTGTGCATATGTGTGTTTGGCTCATTTTACTTATGAGAATGATCAAACTAGGCTAAATGAAACATATGAGGAAAGTGTATGAAGCACAACCGAATGTCTAAATCCGGGACTGGCAGTTCTGCTTTGTGCAGAGTGAAATTTGTCTGTATCTTCCCCTTTGTCAGGCTGAGCTGCAGAAGCTGAGACAACAAGCTCTGGAGACCAAACACTTCATTGAAAAGCAGGAAGCTGAAGAGAGAAAACTCCTGCGAATCATTGCTGAGGCTGATGGAGAGAGGCTGAGACAGAAGAAGGAACTGGACCAGGTAGGGACGTGTGGCACGACCTGCAGACCTTGTCAGCAGACACAGTGTTTGATTCAACCTTCATAAATCCTCATTCTTCTCTGTGTTCTTCCATTCAGTCGCCTGACGGGACAGCAGCAGAGGCCCATCTTCTGTTGATTAATTTTGAAATGTTCTTTCATGTATTCAATTTGCATTTACAAGCACTATGTGTCAGTAACTCCTTGAGGTATCAAGGTTACATTGACCCTCAAGAAAATAAGGTTCCTGTCCTTAGGGAGCTTACATTCTAGTATAATTGTTCATGTGTAACTGAAATTAATAACTGCATCATTTGGGAGTTAGAAAATCAAATCCTTAATTTGTGGGTTAGAAATGTAAATGCATTCAGAGAACTAGCAGGTTACAAAAAAGATGTTGGCTGGTGTAAAACAGCAGAGTGGCACTTAGCACTTAGCAATAGCTCTTATCAAGAGCTATTCTACCATAAAGCCATTTTAATGGAAGCTTTTATAACATAATGGGTTGGAAAAAAACCCAAGCAAAGAAATACACATGGGCCATGGGTTATTGGATGATGATGATGATGGTGGTGACTATGGGTTATTTTTTATCCTGGTTCTCATTCCAATAAGACTGCAAGCTAATGGAAAGAGCCAGTGTGGATTGCCTAGCAGGCTGGCTGTTTGCAGTGCCCCCTGAATGGAGCCTGACACTTGTGGGCATTCTATAGTCACCCCCTGAATGAGTCCTGCTGCCATGTTGAAGTGGGACTGTGCCCCAGTGGCCACGTTCTCCCCTGCTGTCATCCTAGGTCATCAGTGAGAGAGATATCCTTGGCTCTCAGCTCGTTCGCCGCAATGATGAGTTAGCGTTGCTCTATGAGAAGATCAAGATCCAACAGTCCGTGCTGAACAAAGGCGAGAGCCAGTACAACCAGAGGGTGGAGGACATGAGGATCCTTAAACTCGAGATCAAGAAACTCCGCCGAGAAAAAGGGATTCTCGCCAGGAGTGTGGCTAATGTTGATGAACTCAGGTAATAGGGGACCCCTCAGAGGTGCTGAAGTGAATTATGTTTGTCATGTTAGTCATTGAAGGTCTTTATAAAATTGTATAAAATAATTTTATATCTTGAAATGATCAGCAAGTAACAAAAACAATTTTTTTCCATAATTCAGAATTGACATCACACCCATTCTATGTCACCAACAAATAAAAGTTTCCTCCCAGGGGAATTTATGTGAGTGCAATAAGATTTAAAAAAAACCACTTTATTCTGGATTTTTAAAAAAGACATTTCAAGTCAAATTACAACCACAAACTAGTTATAATTCAGAAAAAAATTCCCCCAATGAGCTCTTTAGAATTTCTTTTTAATAAGGCAGTATGCGAGAGATGGAGCATCGATATTTAAGTTTGATCCTGGTAACATTTGCACATCTTTTCCTTGGAATTATAGACAGAACGGAAAGAGGAGAAATTTTTATCACTATCTGAAATCTCTCTGTCCTTAGAAGGTGGCCAAATTTTATATCTCACTCTTGATTGATCTTCTGCAGCATGCACGTTAGCTCAGTGCACCGCCTTCTTTCTTTAAATCTTACATTATACAGGAGCTACTTTCCCTTTGGGGAAACATCACCGTGTTTTATACAGGCAATTGCAGGAGACCAAATAGGAAGTCTGGTGTTTTCTCAGGAGCTATCCTTATTCCCCGCAGACTCGAGATGAATGGTGTTCTTGACCACCTTGGGACAAGGGCAGTTTGGATCTGCTTCTTGCATTAATTAAATTAGAAGATAGTTTTGATATTTAGATGCAGTGAATATATTCAGGAATAGCAAGGGAAGTTGCCACAACCAAGGGCAGATCGATACTTTTTTATTTTTAAAGAGTTGCTCATAGTTTGGATGATGAGAGTATTGCAAATTCATTGTAGGAGAGAGTGGGAAATGTAGAAAAAATATAAAGCAGGGATTGGAAAATCACCCCAGTGATACCACCATTGGCATTTTGGAGATAAATAAATTCATTCTTAGTAGTTATTGAATGATTGCCAAGGCTGTCACTATTCTTGCCAGGCATGAGTTATTTTTATCACATACACAAAGGACCAAATTACCCCCATTCCTAGTAATATTGCTGGTTTGTTGATAGTATATTTTATTTTTCTTTTCAATGGAAGACAACTTAATAAAGATACTGTGGGCAAGCTGGCATAAATTCCAATCTCAGCCTTGCTACCTACAAGCCCTGTGATCTTGGACAAAGCCCTTGACTTCTCCAAGCTCTAGACTTGGAGTTGGAAGGAAACACAGAAACCTACATAATGTGCCTAGCATGGAGTGTAGTATAAAAGCAGTCATCAATAACGACAGCTAATACTTTCGCCCTCCTCTTCTTATGGCACTCTAGAAAATCGAAGTGTTAAAAATATGCTTTTAATTCTAAGCAGCTTGTTCTGAGCTCCCTGTTGAGTGAACATCATGCAGTTAATTCTAATGGTTTGTCTTGCTAATGAGGGGAAGTTGTATTATTGGTTTAAATGAAGCAATTAAGTAAAAGAGATGGCTTAGTATTAGTAATCTGCACACCCACAGCAGACAAGGATGGATAATAACACCCGGACTGCCTGTGTTGGGGCTCACCTCTCCCTGCCTCCCCATGAAGCTTCTTCATCTGGTGGCAGCCAGCTTGCAGGTTCCTGTGGGTGACTAGCACATCACCCATTAACTAGAGATTCCCATGGACTGTATAAGTATGTTTGAGCCAGAACTAGGCCTTTAGGACTCATCCAGCCATCCATGCACTCATGGGACATGAGATAAACCATCCCTCCCGCCTTGGTGGTTCTCAGTCTCACTGCACATTAGAGTTATTCGCAGAAGTTTAAAACCTGTGAAACCCAAGCCATGTGCTAGACCTATGAAAAGCAGAATCCCTCTGGGGATTGGATCCCGGCAAAGGTATATTTTCCAAGCTGCCCAGGTGAGTCCAATGTGTGGCCAGAGGGCCATGCATGGTGCTGCAGTGGCATCTGGCCAGGTGCCGTAGCTTATGGTGCATTGTATGTGGTTCTCTTGCTACAATGGAGACATCTAGAAACATTGAAAAGTTTATTGAAATTCTAGTTCACTACTCCTCTCCTTGTTCTTTCCATATACATCTAAAATCCTTGCAGAACCAGAATCGTGATTCTGAAACTGAGGCACTTTTCTTTTAAATCTGAGGCTGGAGTTTGAACTCTGTGAGAATTAACAGCACCCATGTCTTGCCACAGTTAGGCGCCTGGTCTCAGGGTCCACAAGTCTCCCTAATTCCAGTTTTTTTTAAATGTAAGGTGTAATGTGAACATAACCTTTTAGGGACAGGATAGTCAAACAGGCAGAAAATTTCTTTGCAAAGCAAAGTCTGTCTTATTCAGGCAGGAGATCTTCCACATGCAAAGAGAATTCCTGAAGGAGAGGACGCGGTGCCGAGCCCTGGAGGAGGAGCTGGAGAACCCCATGAATGTGCACAGATGGAGGAAGCTCGAGGTAACATCTGGCAGAGCCTTTCTCCCAGCCCCAGTCTCTTCTCTCACCCGGCATGGCTTCCTTACCTGAAGCACAAAAAGGAGCGACGTTTTATTTAATGCTATGCAAATTGCCACCTAAACATAAGGCTGGATCAAATGTAAATTGGATTGTTCACCAACCAGATGGTTTTTGGGGCTTTTGTTTTAAAAGTTTTGGACAAAATATTTTTTGTCTAAAGAAGATCCAGTGAAAGCTGTGGCCTGACCTCGCTGATGGGTATTTATTTTCTTGTTTGGGTAGTTTTGGGTTGGCCCATTGCCCCGAGGCTGCACATTAGTCTTGGATAGTTAATTGTTTTTAGCTACATTGGCTGCCAGCATCTTCACCATCTTTCCTTTGATCTTTGCAACCTTTAATTTCTGCAGGAAATGACATTTGTGAACGAACCCTCTTTTTGGAGGACTAGCAAAATCTTTTCTTTTAGAACCCAGTCAAACTCCCTTTGGTAGGTGATGGATAATAAATCTCATATTTTATTCCATGACTTCTTGACAGGCATTACCATCCAGTGTAGATTAAAGGCTTGGTCCGCCTAATCAAGAAAAAGATGGCCATCTCCTAGAGTTGTGTCCAGTAATGTGGGTGCCCAGAGGGGCTTCAACTAAATGAACAATTAGGGTGTGGGGAAAATGTAAGTATGTTATAGAAGAAAGAGCAGGGCAAGAAAGAAAATTAGCCAAGTAGGTTTTTGTTTTTCAATTTTATTTTTTCTTTTAATGAAGAATGCATTAAGGATAATGCATTATAAATTGTTATGTAAACATGAGGCTTGAATTTTAACAACATCTAGTCTTGCCAAATGAATGTGGGCCAAACCTAATCCCAATAAATGGATATCAGTCGGCACCGTTTTCATAAGCGAAGTCAGATTCATTGTAGTACCCCCTCCACCCCTGTTAGACCCCCATTTATTTTTCCTCAAATGCCAGGAGTGCTGCAGTTTGCTAAACTAACAATAATATGGATGTGTCTGAGGAAGTGGAGCTGAAGATTTTAAATCCATTTACTGTCACATTAGTTTATTCCATGTGTGTTCAAGCAGATCTTTAAAGTTTCCAATTCCATGTCAATTTCCATTAAAAAATTAGAAAATAGACACTCTGGGAAGTAGTTGAAAATATTTAGCTGCTAGATTAATTCAAAATGTCAGTACAGTTGAAAGTGAAGCTTTGGCTCAAAGTCTAGAGGACAAATTATCAATTTATAACTCTAGATCTTGTTTGAGTTGTACATAGATAGCTATCGAAGGCACATCAAAGCTTTATGGATTGGTAACTCCATTTGAAAGCTAAATGCCACAGACATGTTCTGCTGACAGTTATTAGCAGGAGTCCACATCCTAGTAGCCTTCCCCATCATAGTCTATAATGAATCTTTTTGTTGGCAGTTACCAAAGGAGGTTCCTAAGACTTAGTGGATTTGGGAACCCTGTCTTGTTCCTATAGATCCAGAGGAGATGGCTGGCATAGTGATTAAGAACCACAGGCTCTAGAGTCAGCTATATCTGACCTTGAACACCTCTCTGATCCTTACCCTTAGCCTTTACCTTGTGGGTAAACAATTCTCTGAGCTGCAGTTGCTTTATCTGTAAAAGGGTAGATATATACTGTTGTACATGGCTGTGATGAGGCTAAAATTTGGGAATGTATGAAAAGCACTTAACATGGTACCTGGGTAGTGGCAAAGAATCAGGCATGATGCAGAGTAGCCATTATTATTATTATCATTATCATTATTATTATTATTATTATTATTCCCACCAATGGAATAAACATAGTTACTTTACATTTATTCATTGACTAGAACCAACAGATGAGACATTCGCCAAGCTTCAGTCTGTTTTGATGACCGTCCCCTCTATTATACTTTTTTGGGTTCTTATTCTTTCTGTTTTGGGTTTGCAAAAGATTTTGATAAAGCAATGGTGATTTTACATAGAGTTCCCAATGCTTTGAAACGGATCATATTTTAGCTGTTTTGTTTTGTTCTCCTTGGACAGGCCAGTGACCCCAGTACCTTTGAGCTGATACAGAAAATTCACACCCTGCAGAAGCGCCTCATCAGCAAGACAGAAGAGGTGGTTGAAAAAGAGCTGCTCCTTCAGGTAGCATTTTCATTTCTGTGTGCACTGAGCAAGCATGTTTGCTCAGCACCATCATGTCCAGGACTGTGTTTTTTAGAATTATTTAGCAGCATTGCATGTCCCATTTTTAACTGTAGATGGCAACAGTGACTCACACACGGAGAACAAACAACCTGATTAATTGGTCTTTTATGCTGCCATCACTGATACTTCAAGAATTCTGGAAAATTAAGTTCAAGGCTAGACTTAACTGCATTGGGTAATGCTAGCTCCCTCCATCCTACCCTTACAGTTTTATTTGTCAGATTCTTTTAAATACTTTCTTTCATATCTTCCTATGTTGTGAAATTCTGTGATTTTGATTATGGAAATAAGCTTTCCCACAAGAGCACAAATGATCCATCCTCTTGAAAACTTGGTGAGTGTTGAATGGAATGAAAGATTTCTTTCTGAGAATTTTTTGTGGTGAATTATTCTAAAACAATTAGGAATGGTAACATCCTTTTAGACCTTCCAGTTGTCTTCATCATGATCACCCTAAAGCTAGATGTTGTTCTGGAGGCTTTACCCAACTTGTTCCATTTCCTTTGTACAGTTCAGGGGTTGGGCATTGTCATCCTTAAACAATGGGTGAGGAAGCTGGAGTTGAGTGTGGATAAGGATGTAAGCTCTGGTATTAGATGACTGGACGTGGGTTGGAATCCTGCTTCTGCCAGTTTGTAAGTGTGTGAACTAAACTTCTCTGCAGCTGAGGCTCTCAATCTGTTTTATGGGATGGTAATAGAACCCATGAGAAGAACTTCAGTGAGCACTTACAGAGCTCACCAACATGCTTGGCACACAGTAAGTGACACATATTAGCAATCATCCTTATGATTTCTAATTCCAAAGCCCATCATCCTAACCACTGCATTACCATTAGTGAGGGTGGAAACTTCTGTTTATGAGTAAGAGACATTTGTCCCTTTCTTTTACATTCTATCTTCAAAAAGATGTTTTACCAGATTGTGGCAAAATAGCTTTCCAGAGTATCGATATGCTGGGGTGGGGGGTGATGGTTTCCTCGTCTCTTGTAGATGAGTGTGATGGTTGAAAGGACAGACTTTGGAGTCAGAAAGATCTGGTCTTGAATCAGTTTCAATGCTTTGTTATTTCATGACTTACGGGGAATTGCTTAAGTCCTCCAACCTTAGTTTCTCTTTTCTACAAAATGGAAATAATAAAATCCAGTTTCTTTTTGAGTGGAAGATAATCCTGTCAGAGCACACAACTCCAAGGCTTGTGACGATAACCAGTTAGTGCTTGGGCCCTGGGCTTCGGGAGTCCAGGGTTTGAGCTGTGGCTACACTAATGCCCCAGCTACCACCCGCTTGTCTGAGGCCATACCACTGGTAAGTGGCTGACTGGGGACGAAAACTGGAGCCCATATTTTCTTCCATTTTATCACTGTGCCTTTCCTGTTGTGATGATCATTGTTTTGTTAGTTTTAAAATCAACCAGATTTTATCTTTTGCCAGTTTTCCCTTGTCAGTTTTGTTCATGTTCCATGGACTGCTCTACAGTGACTATTGAATATTTCCATCCTTGGGTTTTGCTCTGTTCTTTTTCTGCTGCCTTAAGATTGGTACCCAGCTCATTAATTTTTGGTTGACTTTTCTACTATCAGCATTAACAGCTATAAAATAGCCTTCATTTTTTTTTTCAGTTCCTTTTTATTTTTGTAATAATCCAGAGGCCTTTTTTCCCCACACCTATGGTGCCATGAATTCTCAGGGCGTGGGCCCCAGCAGCTCAGGGGTTCTCACAAAGTGAGCTTCTCTGGGTGGAGCAGGCTCAAGCTTCAGCTGAACCCAAGTCCCTTTCTCTTTGGCTTCTTTTTCTCCTGATCACTTTCTTTCGCGCTTTCGGGAAGCTGTCTCGGCTCCTAGGTCCTTCCTATGCTCAATACGATCATTCATTCTCCTGGCAAGAATCTTGCCCTTTGCGTGTTTGTTTACAACAATGCCAGCTGCATGCTGGAGAACATCATAGACTCTTCCAATGTTGTCATGGTAACGTGTGGGCGTTCCTTTTTGAACCGTGCCCATCCCCTTGATGTCTACGTTATCACCTTTCTTATGGATTCCCAGGGATGTGACCAAAGAAACAACTCCATGCCTTCTAAAAGGCCTAGAGCACTTGTGACCAGGCCTTTCCTCTGTCCCTTTGTGTTGGTCATTTGGGTGACTTATGGGAAGATGGTGGTTCTGGCCCAAAGAAGGTCCTTTCTACAGGTGTTTGATGTGTAGCATTTTATTTTCATCTTGTTTTAGAATTTTCTATTTCCAGAATTATTTTCCTTAGAAAGTAAGCCACTATTTTTCCTATGATAATTAAAACTACAACTTGAAATCTCTAAGCATACGTGTATTTAAAATATTTTTTTAGTGTTGATTTCTCACTGTTTTACATTATGATCTGTGTTATGCCAATCCTTTGGAATCTGTTGAGATTTGTTTGGTGACTTAAGTGGTCAGTTTTTATGACAGATGCCTATTTTCTGTAGATGTTCAAGATTCAGATATCTCAATGAGATAAATCTTGGTAATTGTATTGTCCACATTTACACCTTTGGCTGCCTAATCACTAATGAAAAAAAGCCTGGAGATTTGGCCATTCCTCCTTGTCGTGCTGTCATTTTTTGCCTTAAGTACATTTGAGATTTTGTCCGTATGGTGAGTAAAAGGTTACAATTTTTATTTCTTTTTGGTGAATTTTTCCTTTAATATCATGCAAGAACCCCCCTTAACCCTAATAGTGCTTTTCTTTTTTTCCCCTAAAGATTTATTTATTTATGCACAACAAGAACTAGAGTAGAGGCCAGAGGTGCGGGAGGCGGGGGTTGAGAGGATTCACCAGAGACAGAGTGGGGAACAGAACAGGCAGATTGACTGAAATACACTGCTGAGGGGAGCAGCAGGCGAGACAGGAGAGGTCTGCTGTGCCATGTGGGTAGCTCCCTGGCTGGCTGGGGATCGAACTTGCTCTGCAGAAGTGCTGTACTTAACCCCTTGCGCCACCAGGGAGGCCCTCCTAATAGTGCTTTTCTTACAAATTTGTCTGATCTTAATGTAGCTCTGGCAGGTTTTACTTTTTCTTTTCTTTTCTTTTTTTTTTTAATCAATCTAATGCCATATTTATTTATTTATTTATTTTTTTATCATTTCTCCCACACGTCATTAATAATTTTATTAGACATTACACAAAAATTTATGTTATTTGTTTTCAAATAAAATCTACATATCATTTACATGAATAATGCAATAAATCTACTATTGTTTCCTAATAAATACAATTGGGAGGTATTCTGAGTATTTTTTTTTTATAATAAATTTTATTTTTATATTCCCCATACAATTGCAACCCCCCCATTCTGACCCCAATCCCTCCCCTCCCGTCCCCCACTCCCCCAAAAGTGTCTCTGGTTCATAGTTTTTTGTTGATTTTGATTTTCACTTTCTTATAGTTATTCATTTTCCTGGTCTCTTATTTAAGTTTTCTAGATTCCTGCTATGAGTGAGACCATCCGGTATTTTTCTTTTTCTTTTTGGCTTATTTCACTGAGCACGATCCCTTCCAGCGCCATCCATGTTGCTGCAAATTGCATGTGTTTATCTTTTTTGAATGCTGAGTAATATTCCATGGTATATATGTACCACATCTTCTTGATCCAGTCATCTATTTTTGGGCATTTGGGTTGTTTCCAAAGCTTAGCTATTGTAAACAGTGCTGCTATAAACATAGGGGTGCAGGTGCTCTTTGGAATTGATGTTTCTGTGTCCTTTGGTAAATACCTAGGAGTGGAATTGCTGGATCATATGGAAGCTCTATGTCCAACCACTATGGAGAGCTGTGTGGAGATTTCTGGACCTACTAAACATAGAGGTTTTACTTTTTCCATAATTTTTCTGTACTTAAAAAGTTTTGGTGTCATTTCATTTCTCCTGTAATTAAAAAAAAATCCAGTCTTTGTTTTTTTGACTGATGGGCTTAATCCATTTATATTTATTGATACTTTTAGGTTTATTTCTACCTGTTTATATTGTATTACTTACCTTGATTTTTTTAATGCTTAAAAAAAGTCTACTCCCGCTTTCTGTTGGATTTTTTTTTCCTTTGTTTTATGCTTATGAGTCACTTCTCTCTCCTCATTATCCCCTATTCTCTGGTTTATTTATTTTTCCTGAATTGTTACCACCATTTAATAAATTCGCTCTGTGTTTCTTGGATGCCCTTGAAAGTTTAACCTGTGTGGTTGATATCAAGTCTAAAATTGATGATTATCTTCATCTTTCTTATAGCTTACATCAGGACTTGGAATGCTTTTATTGCAATAACCCCCTATAGTCCTCTCAGCATTGGCCTTCATTATCATTATTTTATAGCCAGTGAATTAATTAGTAAGACTTACCAAACTGTTTACCAATTCTTTTGTTTTCTGTTTCTTCATATCTCCACTTCCCGACTTCTAGGTACTGTCTCCTTCTTAAAGTGCACCCTTTCGTCTTTTTCAGTGATAAATGCTTCAGTGACTAACATTTTCCTTTGTTTGTCTGAAATTGTTTTTATTTGTTCTTACTCATAAATGATCATGAGTCATTTTCTATTGCAAGTTGAAGATGATGGTCTTTTGTGTTCACTAGTAACTGATTAAATGTTGGGAGGGCGGTGTTCCTTCAGTAAGTGAGATGTCTCACCATCACAAGTTCTGTCTTTAAGACAGAACCTTTGAGAGGTCATGGGAATTCGTTTTTCTATTGCCTTTGCATTTTTGTTATTAACTTCTAAATTTGAAGGAGTCTGGAATTTACGGTGGCTTTGTGGATCTGTAACTTGATGCTAGCTGGCGGTGTTCTTTTGCGCGCCAAGGTAGGCTGATTCATGTGGTGTGCTCAGAGTTCTCCTCTTGCTCAGCGTTAGTGTGAAAATGGTTCTTGATCTTGGCTTTTCAGCTTCAGTGCTAAGATGATGAAATCTGTATT